AATCCACGAATTACGGTTTGAACTGCTTGACCATCCACCTTACTCACCAGATCTAGCCCCAAGCGACTTCTTTTTGTTCCCTCATCTAAAAATTGCGCTCGGAGGACAGAGATTTTCGTCAAATGAAGAGGCAATCACCTTCGTGAACAATTATTTTGCAGAGAAAAACGCCGAGTACTATTTCGACGGGTTACAGAGATGGGAGCATCGCTGGGAGAAGTGTGTAGATTTACAAGGAGACTATGTTGAAAAATAAAAAACAATTTTCAGAAAAAATGACTTGTATCTTTGTTAGGTCGGAAACTTTTCAGACCACCCTCGTACATAAGATTGCGAAGCTTATACAGTGTGATGAGATGGGACGTCTAGTTACGGGAAAATATAATTAGGATACTCAGGAAATGTATATACATACTATTTTATTTATTATAGAGGAAAAGGAGAAAATTATATGATATTGAAAATTATATGATATCATTATATTTGATGAATCGTGCGCGATATAGATGAGCTTTAATGATGATGTGTGCTATCGTGTGCTTGTACATTAGGTTCAAACTAAAGGACTAGAAGACATTTTTATGAAAAAAAAAAAGAAAATTTCTAATTAATGAAAAACAGTTATATATATTTAAATCAAAAGACTCTAAAGTAATAAAACTAATATATTACTTGATAATGCTTTCATTGAAAATAAACGCGATATACATTTTATACATTATTATAATACATATACAAATAATATATATATAAGTAATTTACACAACTACTGATAAAACTTCTGATAAAAGAATACTTCTCATAAAATAACAAAATTTTCTTGTAACATGTAGGTATGTATCTATGTATGAGATGAAACTTATTAAATAATACAAGAGAAAGACAAACATTGCTGTAGAGACACGTTTTTAAAAATAAGTACATACTTATTCTTCAATTTTCAGGCTTTGAATCTTTTATTTACCACAGTCTCAATAAGTTGAGATTTTCTTTTTTGTACTTTTTTCTCACTTTTTAAATTTTGCTTCTTTTTCTTTATTTCGGAGATTTTTTAAACTTAATATTAGTTCTCGCAAAATTACTATACTCGTTATAGATTAAGTCGAACTGTTTGCATTGATTCAGATTTCTCAATATTTTTTTTATGCTTTTTCTCTTCAGATATTAATTTCAATTTTAAATTATGTTTTCTACCTGTATTTTTATATGTTCTGACATAACTTCTTCCCAAGATTGGTAACGTTACTTTATAAAAGTAACTCGTTATCGTTACTCGTTATCTTTATTTTCTTTAAAATGTAACTCGTTACAGTTACTCGTTAAAAATTTTAAAAAGTAACTCGTTACAGTTACTGTTATTTAAAAAGTAATGAATCGTTATTTTTTCGTTACTTTTTTAAATGCTAAAATAAGACTAATTATGAATTTGATAAGGGAAAATGGACGAGAAAGGGAGGGAGAGAGAGATTTATGTGGAATATAGATAT